TGCATACGTACATGTATATAATTAATCATTTATAAATTTAGCAGATTTTAATATAAAAATCTTTTTAGTTTTCTAGATTTTTCACAATGTGCTCAAATGTTATGTAAATACTGTCATAATATATATAATATAATATATATATAATAAAAAAGCTACAAATAGGCTGCATTATCTTTTGCATTTTTCCCCTTTCTTGTGATTTAGTTGAAACTCATATCATATCAGGGTTTTATAAGATTCACCTATTTATTATTGCAATGACTACTGAAATTACTGTAAAACAGTGGTGAGCATAGTTTTTCTTCTTTCCATCAGCATATTCAGTTTTTCCTCAAATACAAACTTGCACTTTTCATAATGGTTCATCATTTGCACATTGCATTGATTAGATTGAAGTAATGTGTTAAATCCACACTCAATCCAACTAAACCACACAAGTTCATGAGTTACCGGAGGTTATTATGAGAACATGTTATTTACTTCTGTGATAATGCAGGATGTATTCGGCTCTGCCGATCACAAATGTAAATTTCAACAGTATGTTATTTTGCTTGACTCATTCTCTCAAGCACAGAAATATTTTGCGCGAGTCATCATATCACCAGCCGCCCACATGCATCTGAATGTGATGGATGGGCTGTGTGTGAGTGTGAATGCACAAGTGAATTTAGAAAGTGTGGGTGTATATCTGGCATCATCACAGTGTATACTGCTGCACATGTGTGTGGTTTCCCTCAGGGGAAATTATAGAAATATGATAGAGATCTGTTATAAAGACAGCTGAACAATGGTTTCAACAGAATCAGAATCAGATCTCACCTCTATGAGTCTGTCCTGAGGTTTGAGTCCTGCGCGGTCAGCGGGCGAGCCGGGGTCCAGAGCTCGTATGTACTGACCCGGTCTGGACCTCTCGCTGTGGAGATTAAAGCCGTAACCCGTCTCGGACCGCACCAGGTGACACAGCCTCGGCAGAAGCTCAGACGGGTCCCGGGTCGAGGACTCCGATGAGGGCTGAACCTCCTGTGATAGAAAAAAATAAAGACACTTTAAGATATGAATAAACCTACAGCTAAATCTTAGGTTGAAATAACTCTTTGTTTTTCACAGTATTTCAGTTTTAGCCCATGTCTTTCCATCCATAATTTCAGAGAGAAAGAGAGAGGTTACTGCAGGTTAATTTAAAATTGATCAAAACGAAGAGAGTTTATTTGGCAATAAAGTCAGAAAAATACACTTAATTTAAAGTGTAAGGAAGTTTTCATGCCCCAATGATATTTGTTCTTGTTTTAAGCATAAACTCAATTTTGTTCAATTTCTCAGAAAAACAAGACTTCATTTTTTCATTTTGCATCACTGAGGAAGATATTCATTTTTTTGCAGTGTATGTAATATTATTGCTGTGGCTATGAATTTAAGACTTTGTGCCCTGATTTAAGAACTTATATATACAGTATACACACACACACAGAGAGAGAGCTGGGTAGTAAATTATTACATGTAATCTGGATTACGTAATCAGATTCCAAAAATTAAGTACTTGTAATTAGATTACATTTAAAAACATTAAACATTTTCATGATTTAATTAATTATTAGCTTTTCATTAAACTCGTAATCCCCCTGCAGTTCCTTTACAAACCCAGTTTGGGAAACCTTGATGCAATATAATGTTTAATGCACTTCATGTTGTTGATAGGCTTGCTGCGATAGACGGTGTTTTCAGTGTTTTTGTTAAGCCGCAACACCGGTTATGTCACTTGCCTACTGCGGCACCGCCCCCCACCGTCATTTTGATTTTTTATAGTAACAAAAATCATTTAGCCTAGTTCAGTTAGAGGACAGACACTTTTAACAAACTAAACGCTCAATGCAGCGTGCCGAACCGTGCGTGAACGACAGTGCACCACAGAGCAGGAGTCAGATTTTATTTATCACGTGAGGAGAGTGAGTCGAGCTGACTGACAAGAGTGAGGTGAGAAAGACAAGACGATGGCAGAAGATTGTTTAGAAAGGAAATGCAAAGGCGCCTGTTTGGCAATATTTTAGATTTGGAAAAGCCTATTGACTGGAAGTTTTTTTAAACATTCATTTCTTATTCATTTGGTTCCACGGTGTTTGCTGATTACTTTATTTATACTTTGTGTATTTTATTTATTTTATTTTGCATCAAGGTGTATATGCCGTGCCTTCAAGCTTTCTTATTCGTTTTGCTAATAAACATTCTATGTTTCTTATTTCTATGAGTTTGATGTTGTTGTTGCTTGAATTGAATCAACGCCGAATTGCTGCTAATTTGAAAGTAAAATGCGCACTGCGCTTTTTCAAGCTTTTTGAAAGCCAAGAAATCCGAGGAAAAGAGGGAAAACTCAAACGAACAATTGCTTGACGCCGAATTGCGGCAATTGGCTAATTTGAAAGTGAAAGTAAAATGCGCATGGCACTTTTACAAGCCATTTGAAAGCGAAGAAAAGAGGGAAACTCAAACGAACTAACCCCCCACCCCAACGGTGATACCGGTTGTCACACGTCGATTAACCGGTGGGAAAATTTCCTCACCGTCACAACCCTACTGTACAGAGATACCCATTTTAAACACATTTAGTAGCAGAGCTACTGCACGCGATTTTCAGTGCTGGAAATCCATTTATCCTTTGTTGAAACTTCCGCGTTGTCGTGGAGAGCGCAGGTCACGATTGCTTAGCAATGGCAGACACCACGAAAGCGCAAGCTCCCGAGCACTTTGGAAAGAAGGAGAAAGCGGCGCGACTGGCGGTTTCCCACGCGTTTTTAGCAAGCGGCAACCTCCTGCTCTCTCTCATGAAGCCAGCACGGAAGTGACTTAAACTGTAATTCGTCAACTGGCCGCTAGAGGCTGGCTGCAAAAGGGAGTCAATCCCTGCAA